TGTCCTTTAATTGGAAAAAACTCCTTCACCCCTCGCGGGGGCGGAAAAAGGAGGTGTGACACTCATTACCACAGTGATGGCGATTATAATTTCGTCTTTTGCCACGTCCATATCCATTCATACTTTCACGATAATAATTTTGTCTTCTTTTAGACTTATTACATATTGCTACCACATTCTCTTAAGGGAATGTGAATGAAGCAAATTCAATGGGACGTATTTTCACTTCTTTGCCCACAATCATACATGAATTTGATCATGACAATGCCTATAAATTTTACCACTTCAGGTGGTTATAATTTCTAATAAGCTCCATTAGACTTATAATCAAAATTTATTGTCTTTGCTTGTAATTAAAATCAAATTATAAAATTTCAAGAGTTTAGAAGAGAAAAATAAGGTAAAATACATACCTTCAATCCAGAATTTATTCATGAAGTAAGTTCATGGAACAATTGATAATCATTATATTCAATATTATACACATGTTGAGCACCATGCACATATTCAAAAGCCCGGTGACTAAAGCAGATGCCTCAACTCAATTAGTTATAGTCTCGTGTTGATAACGTGTTATGAAACAATAAAAGAAGAAGAAGAGTATTGCAGAGAAAAGTAAAGAGAATTCTTATTGATTAGGGATCAATAGCAGTGAAATAGAATCCGTCTATTTATAGGGAAAAATTGACTTAGCCACCAAGTAACAAACCATAAAATATCTCTAAATATAGACATTTACCTTAAATAAAATTCTATTTATAACAGATCATGTTTATTGTATTTTATAAATAAAAATCATCACATCCACACACCTCATTAATGTGATTAGCATGCACTTCAGCTACATCTGTCTTGCCGTCGTCACATAAGCATGATCAACGGTCAAATATCTTTGTTAATAGTCATTCCGTTAAATAGAGGTGTTAAAATGTAAAAAATGGGAGTTAGGGGACCGACTTTTAAAAAATGGACAAGTATCAACAGTCAAAAGAATTTCCTATTGGGGTAAAAAACGAAACAAAAAAGCCAAACAAAAGCGCTTCGGAGCTCGGTGGTGCTCTTCCTCTCTGATTTTCGGTATGAACTATTAAATTCGGCTGATTTTCGAATTCTTTTAACAATCCCTTTAATGTGTAAACAACCAATTAGTTCATTATAATCAAGTTCTTGTAAAATTTACAATCTCATGCTTGTTCACAAATCGTTTGTGAAAATGTCTCAACCATATTTTATTTTACCATTTGGTGAATCATGCTTTTAAATAGATATATATTGCTGGGCACCTCCTCTTTTCTACGTTGCTACCTCCCTCCAGCATAGAAACCGCGTAACTCTGCCACCAAGTCCTGGACAGATGGGTTAAATCACCTAGTGTTTTTTTGCCTCCATTGAAATTTGAACCTGAGAATTCACGGTTTTCGTTCCACTCATTGACCACTAGCCCATAATCTTGGGTGCGTTTCAGAATTCAGTTTTTTATTTTTCAGAATTGGGGTGCAATGATAGCGGGGATTCGTATTCGGTTAAAGGGGTGGCAGCAGGCTGCAGTTGCAGTTGGTTCTGCAGTTGGGGCGTTGTTAGATCCTCGAAGAGCAGATCTCATTGCTGCTTTGGGAGAGACAACGGGGAAACCAGCTTTTGATAGGGTTCTTGAAAGGATGAAAAAGAGCCCTGAAGGCAGAGTAAGACCTTTTTTACTTTATTTATTTCAATTCATCTTTCAGTTGAATGCAATGGCTTGCTCGTCATTTATATATTTGGCTTGTAATAATTGCAAATTATATTTCTTTTAAGGGTGATTTTGGGGAAGGGAGATTTGGTGCCTGTTGCCACACTAGGCTGAGTTAGCCACTGATAGGCATTGATCTTACGTTGCTTACATCAGGTTACTCTAGAACTAAATCAGAATTGATATCTGGCCTATATGAAATTTGGTTTACTATGCGTTGCTGCTCACTTGTGAACCTTGGTGACAACTGAAGTCATCATGAACTCACGAAGAGCACCAGCTTTGAGCATCTTCCACTCCCTTCTTACTTTGTACTGATAGTTAATGAGGAAATGAATCCCCAACTCAATGAAATGGTCCAACTGGTTATAAATGATGGCAGTTCCATCTTACTCCTACCATTTACAAGCAGCCCATTGAAGCCAAATTCTCAGTATTATGAGAAGACTGATCACCTAGTTCTTCAAGTGCCAGTTAAGGATGTCTACTTGCTTCAATAGACTGAGAAATACTGCAGTTTGTACCCCTTACTATTTGCTGCAATTTATTGAGCTATTCTGTAGCGGGTTTAGGTTGCCTCATGCATCACTCATTTCAATGACCTCCAATTTGATTGTGCATTTGTTAACCATACTCATCATGACTAGTGCTTAAT